CTCGATAACCAGCTTCCCTTCCCCAGTAAAATCGTGTAATTATTCTCTTAATTTGTGTTCAAATGTTGTTGATTTTACTTGTTGGAAAAAATAAACTTGACTCGCCTATTGCGAGTGTGTGTGTGAATTAATTAGTTTTTTCAAGTGAGTGAACAAGTACCATTTTTGGGGCAAAACTTTCCAAATCATATTCTGTACGTTGTAAACCTTGCCCAAGAATTTTGTTCGCTTTTCTGGTTCTATAATCAGTTTTTATTTATTTTTTCATCAAATATTTATCGTCTGTTATGCTGATTATGAAGTCGAAATAATCTTTTGCTTAGACAAGGTGAGGCTTTCGAATTTCAATCAGAAATTTTGAAACCGATTATTGTCATCACAATGCTTGAAATTCCGAATTCTCAATTTTGAAACTACGAATCCTGTTTCGAAAATAATGCCAAATCAAGTTTATTCCAACTACACAAGTCATGAAACAAGTTGAATTCAAATTTTGCTTTCGTATTCGCTAATATGTAAACAGGGGCAGGCGCCCCCCGCAACACTTTGTAGGGGTGCGTTGGTCACTTAGTTCAATAATTTAATATAAAAACATTTCAACTCTTACTTGACCAATTGACATTTAATGAGACACGTTTTGTTGCATCACACTTGATAGCTTTCCGACTTCTGACGACATATTGAATGAAGTTAAGATTAATACAAGAGAGCTACGCCCAAATATATGGACACGTCTGTTCGTAGTACAGTACGGTGTACCGTACCGTCAGATCACAGTCTACAAATATATTCACACCAAGCTAAGCAGTACAGTAGGACACAAAATGGCGTCCGATGTCCGCAGAACGTTTAATGACGTCATAGCAAACAAAAACAAATCTCACAAAGCTAACAGAAATATTTAAAATGAATAAAAGTAATAGCCTTCTGGGGAAAAATCTTCAACCACTGAAAATTTCAAGGCAATTCGTCCAGTATTCGAAGAGAAAAGCGGTTTTTCAATATTTCCACTAGGTGTGTTATTCTGTTTCAAATAACAACAAGAACAAGAACAACATAATATTGAAACGATCGTTATGTCCACTACGTGTCCAAAAACATTTTTTGAATGAGCATCACTAATCCTAGTTCTCATCTTGTTCTTTGTAATTTTCATTTTTGAAAATAATTGTTCGCACGCATGATTTGTCAAATTTGTATGGAGTTTTCCTTCAGGAAGATACTTTTTTTATATAAACATCAAGCAGTGGTACATCAATCGAATAGAATATGAATTTTATTATCTCATTGTATTGAATATTTTCTGCGCCATTGAAGCAGCTGCACTCGGCATCAACTTTTCTGTGTTTCAGGTTTTAATATAATTTAATCTACATGTGTCTTACAATAAATACTGTTACCTGAAGAATACAATGTGAAACAGCCTTTTAGTCGCTATAATTCAGTGAAGCGACGCGGGCCGGATTATCTACCCCGCGGGCCGGATCTGGCCTGTATCTGTATAACAACATCTATAATTTGTTTATGCCCCAAATTATATTTGAATTAGGTATAAGGAAAAATTATGAAAAACCGCTCTGGGCAGCATCAAATTTCCGCACGCCCTGCTCCTAGATATTATATGTCTTTGCTTAAGAAACGCAAACTCCAGTTATAGTCTTTTCTCGCCCCGGAAGAATTATGAATGAAATTTATTGAAATTATTTATTGTTATTGTACAATAAACTGTTAAAAGTATAACAAAAATTCCCCCCGTTATTCCACTTTGCCACGTTCATATTTTATTCTATTGTAATAATTAGATTGTAAATTCAATCATTTCATTTTGCGTTTTTATTATGACAAACAAAAACAAGTTTCGGTCAGATCATGGAAGTGTGCAGTTGTGAATCATTAGTTGATTATGAATGCAAAACTACATCATTATAAACTTATGGATCATTATGTGCCGGTATATATTGACATATTTTCAGGCTGTGTTGAAAATAAGGTGGTATCAAGTGATTGGCGACTAGATATGTGCACTGAATACAGTATATAATATCATTGTGGGTAAGGATGTAGCTATAATAGGTTTATTGAATTATTTTATTATTATCCTTTTCAATTCAAAACTCGCATAGATTGAGGTGGTTTTGTCACTGAGCTGCCGCTGGATTCTTATGCTTTTTGGTGATTTAGTAAGGCAGTGGAGATTAGATAAGGTAAGACATTAAGCGATTAAATATGCTTTTTGGTGATTAAGAAAGGCAGTGGCGATTAAGTAAATTATGTCATTCTTCGTTTAAATATGATTTTTACAATTCAATATAACAGTGGCGATTAAGTAAGGTAATGCATTTAGCAATTAAATATGCTTTTTTGCGATCATGTTAGGCAGTGGCGATTAAATAACTTAATGTATTTAGCAATAAAATATTATTTTTTGCGTCCAAGCAAGGCTGTGGAGGTTAGGTAAGTTGAGGCATTCGGCGATAAAATATGCTTTTTTGCGATCATGTTAGATAGTGGCGATTAAATAACTTGGGCATTTAGCGATTAAACATGTTTTTCTGCGATTAAGTAAGGTTGTGACGATAAGTAAGTTGAAGCATTTAGCAATTAAATATGAATTTTGGCGATTAAGCTACTATTTGTAGAATAAACTCAAATTAAAATGACGAATTTTTCTAGCAAATAGATTTGAGCTTCTGAGCGTTATGATAATAAGTTAATGGACACGTGAGTGGGACCTATGGATCGTTTTGTTAAGATGTTGTTCTTGTTCTTTGACACAATATTTTATCGTTATTAAAAGTCGCTTTTCTCTTTGATTACTGTACCAGTTGCTTTGAAATTTTTAGTGATTGAAAATGGAATTCTCCAGAAGGCTATTACTTTTATTTATTTCTAAATTTTCTATGAATCCTATGATATCTGATATTTTATTCAAAATTTAGCTGTATTAACTTTTACTGTATTTACTTTCAAAATTTTAATGATATTGCAACTTACTAAATTGATGTCTTTTCCATATGCTGTTTGCTTGGGTACCGATACCGTAAAGTGTTTATTGCATTCATGTTTTCAATGATGGACTAAAATTTTCTAATATACTAGTTTCTTCATGTACATATTTTGTCTAACTAGCAATACTATTTACTTCCACATTTATTTATTTTGTCGATTATTTTCAATCGCCAATTAAATTTTATTATTTTTTACCTGTTAACGTCAGGTTGGGTCCTTAGGCTCTTCCCTCTTCACACGACGTCCCTCTTCACACGACGTCTCCGGCACCAAAGCACCTTACCACTATACTTCCACTTGTTTACACACTCTCGTATCCCTAACTGCGACAAACAAAACTATTTTATAATAATATAAATATGTCAAGTTATCGGCTTCCCCTCGCGGGATAAATATGAATTCAAGCTCAACTCAGGCAGTGTCTGTATTCCGCAGTATAAGATTTCGCTGACGTTGCCATGGTTACTCACAAGACGGTGCTCGGAGTCGTTATCCGTTTCTCCTTGGATAGGGTGTCTTTTGGGTATGCAGGTCGCCTCGACTTACTTTAACGTAAACCTGTTCTAATATTTATTGTTTGTTTGATTTATATATACTGTTAGACTTGTCATGGGTGTCGCTGCTCGATCACCAGTCTTGGTGTCTCGCGCCTCCCTTCACCCTAAAGTACCATATTTCCTATTTCTTGTATTGTGTATTCACATTGTGTGCTTTAGAATGGTGAAAAAATAAATTACTGATTACTGACTGATTACTTATTTCACGCTGTTCCGCCAAGCGTGACGGCTGATTCTGAAAATTCTCGCCACTGGAAACTCGGGAAGTTTTTTGAGGTCACCGGTAATTCTAAAGGTATGATAAACTACTGCAGGAAGTACTCCTTTTTTGGTATCAATATATTTGTAGACTGTGGTATCTGCGGTTATGATAGGCTACTGTAGTAAATGGAATCAGTATTGCTGGTATTAAGTTTGCAGATGATAGTCTAATCTTTGGTTAACTTAAGTACTAAAGCCTGCTACCTTCGATTATATCAACAAACGGAATATACCTTTCTAATTATATTACTACATTGGATTCTGCTGAAATAATTACCTGTTCAACTCGAAACTCCACGGAAAATCAATATGAATACCGAAGTTCATAACCAGATTCTGGCTGCTGTTACATCCCTCCAGGCCAACCAAAAAGCGCTCATGCAACGCTCAGATGAACTGTCTGCCACTGAAAACCATGGCAGCAAGTCTGAAGCTGTTAAGAAGTTCCAGCATGATGTGGCTCAAATCTCTTTTAAGATCGAGGAGATTATAAAAAGACTGGAGTTATGTGAAAAACAGCAAGATGATCAGGAACAGTACAGCCGGAGGAACTGTGTTGTTCTTCATGGCTGCAAATCGGTCCCAGAATCTGAGTACTACAAGTTTGAAGACTTTGTTGTTAACACCATGAACAATAACTTCAATCTTGACCAGCCTATTGTTAACACGGATATTGATATAACCCATAAATTGCGATCCAAGTCCCCGTCCCCTGTACTCCAGGGCTGCTGCTCGCCCAATGGGACCTAGCAAATAGGCACACTGTTTGCAACTTGGTCTCATTGATATAGTGGTGGCCTTTAGCACAGGGGGATAATATAATTTAATTTAACTCAATTTATTTTCACCCTTATTTTCCTTATGCTAATTAGGCTAGTACTTATTCAACCATAAGTTCTGCACCTGGAAACTTTGTATTCAAGCTTCGTATTTTAGATTTTATCTTCACTATACTTTTTTTATTTTATTTTTTTATTTCATTACTTTGCCACCACCATGAAACATAATTTAAAATATCCCTGTAGAAATTGCCACAAATCAGTCCGAACTAATCAGAAAGCTATTTTTTGCAACATTTGCTCTCATTGGATACATTTAAAATGCACCAATATCTCTAACCAGCAGTATGAAAACCTGCAATCTGAAGCTGATGATATGCCTTGGTAATCAGTAATCAGTAATTTATTTTTTCACCAAACAGAAAAAAACACTTCATGCAAATAAATATAAAAAAGGAATTTAAATACGGCATTTCAGGGCGAAAGGAATCGCGAAAAACCAAAACTGGTTAACGAGCAGCGACACCCGTGAATTAATTTAACAGAAATATAAACAGGAGAGAGAAAGAAGTCAAACATTATATCATGAGAAAAAAAAAGACAGCAAAATTCAAACCAAATACGTACAACACTCCGAGCACCGTCAGTAATGTAACCATGGAAACGACATTTCAAAGATATGGCCACACAGAGTACGGTGCCGGTAACCATGGACTTTGTTAAGTTCACCTTCAAATAGAGAATGAGGTTGAGGTGAGTAAGAGGTGGTGCTGGAGTCATTACAAAGTCCAAGAAGAATTGAGAATTAAATGCAAAAGCAATCCAATAAGTTAAAAAGCAAGATAGCATGAATAACAGGTAAGAAAATATTTAAAAGAAAAAAACACACAAATTCTTCCGGCAGGATAAGAGTTATTATTAAGATAGCTCACCAACCTACCTAGCGTATGCAATACATAGCCATACCGGTTTTAAAAAATAATATTTGATCAATCAAATAGAAGATGATTCAAATATTAATCAACAGCAGCAATAAATGGATTTTGAGTTTTTAGCTCCATCTATATGTTCTTATGAAGACTCTTAGTCTTACGAAATATATTATCTATAAAAGCAATTGGTACATGGTTCAAAAATGTGTAAGGCGAGTTATACGGTTATATCAATATATAAAATAACAATAATTGAGAAAATAGCATACCAACATTTGATACGAAAACATTAAATAACAGATTCAAAAACCCAACTACAACTGTTAGGATCTGTGGATCAGATCGAGGATTCGTGGCAATATCAAGACTGAATGCTGACAACACATCAACTCAAGGTCCTGGCAGGAGACAGGTAAGAAGAGAGCATGAGTTTTTTATATTTAAATTTAAAGGTAGAGTATGTGGAGTCGCGTAAACATTGGGGGATACTATTCCAAATTAAAACGCCTTTATATTTTAAGGAATTTTGGGTTTTGCTTAGGGAATAGCGGGGTACAAATAAATTAGATCTTGACGAGGAGCGGGTGTTATGCTCATGCATGGAACTAAGTTGAACAAAATGATTGTCAAAAGCTGCAGGTAATTTCTGGTTGTGGAATTGATGCATGATCTTAGAGATCTCAAACTTGTGAATGTCGGGCAATTTTAATACACTGATCTTGTGGTATAAGATGCTTAAGTTGGAACGAATGGGTGCTCTAGTGAGAATTCTAATGGCCTTATTTTGTAGGACCTCTAACTTATACAAGTTTGATTGGGAGGCAGCTCCCCAAGCAGCTATATATTGTAAATGGGATTGGAAAAGGGCAAAATATACAGTTCGCAAAGTTGCGTCTTGTACATAGTGCCTGAGCTTTCTCAGAATCCCTACCGATCTTGAAAGTTTTCTGTGTAGTTCAGCAGTGTGGGTGTTCCATTTTAACTGGCTGTCGATGTGAAGGCCCAGATATTTGTATGAGTGGACAACTTCGAGAGTGATACCATTTATTTTAATCGAGATGTTTGCATGTCTAGTACGAGTTTTGGGGGTGAACAACATCACTTTAGATTTATCCACATTCACTGTAAATTTGTTACAAACCATCCAGTCATATATTTTTTTAATTTCAGAGTTTACTTTGTCTTGGAGCGTATTCAAATCTTTTGAACTGTCAAGCAAACAGGCGTCGTCAGCGAAAAGTTTGGTCAGGAAGTTGGAGGAGGACGACAGATCATTTATTGCGACGAGGAAAGCAAGCGGTCCCAATACAGAACCTTGAGGAATTCCACAGTGGATGGGGAGCATCGCGGACCTATTGGAATCCACTTCGACAAATTGTTGTCGACCGAACAGGTAATCGCAGAATAAGTTGCCTGTAGCACCTCGAAAACCATAATGTCTCAGTTTGTGTGAGAGAATAGAGTGATTGACGGTGTCGAAAGCTTTTTTAAGATCGAGGAAAATACAACAAACAAATTCTCCTTTATCCAGTTTATCGTAAACATAAGAAATTAGGTCGAGAATAGCGTGGTTGGTCGAGTGATTGGTTTGAAATCCGAATTGACATTTGTTGATTAGGTTGAATTTGGTACAAAAATTGAGCATTCTGCTGTGCAATAGTTTTTCTAAGATTATGCCAATTAGGGGTAGTATTGAAATTGGTCTTTAATTTGAAGGATCATTATTACTACCATTCTTAAATATTGGTACCACTCTTGCAATCTTAAGTGAAGAAGGGAAGGTACCTAATCTAAATGACGCGTTGAAAAAGTGACTTAGTGCTGGTGAGATGATATCAGCGACAGATTTAAGAATGTGGGATGGAATACCATCATGTCCAACAGCTTTTCCCTTTTTCAGGTTCGCTATAATTTGGAAGACCTCTGAAGGTGACGTAGGTTCAAGAAAAAATGAATTTTGCAGGGGAGTACCCAAGAAGTCGGTAAATGAGACTGAGCTTTGCGGGAGATCATCGGCAAGTTTCTTCCCTACCGTTGAAAAGAATTTATTGAATTCACTAGCAATCAGGACTGGGTCAGTCACAGTGGTTCGATTTTTGAGCTTCAATTCTGAGATGGAGATGGAATTTTTGGATTGTATCTTAATGATGTCATTGATCGTTTTCCACGTGCGTTTAGCATCACCTCGGTTGGTCTCAAGGACATTGCGATAAAACAGTTCTTTAGATTTCCTTTGCAAATGTACTAACATATTTCTATACTTTTTGAAGTAGACACGCTGGGATGTATTGCCCCTTAAAAATTTATTTTCGAACATATTATTTTTGTGTTTGATGGACTTCCTAATTCCCCTAGTGATCCAGGGTTTGGAGTAAAGTTTGTTTTCTCTGCGTGAAAGGGGTCGTAAAGGCGCATGTCTGTTAATTAACCATTTTAGGCGACCAAGGAATGTATCAAAAGAGTAATTGAAATTTTCTCTACAAAAGGTAACACCCACATAGTTGCTACACATTGACTCAACATCGGATCTAAAAGAATCGTTACCAAATTTAGACATATCGCGCTTCATGCGAGTATTGGTCTTGATGCTTATATCTACACCTGATATTGTGCACATTACAGGAAAATGGTCGGTCAAGTCGCTTATTAAAATAAATGATGAAGAACATTGGTTTATGGCGTTTGTATAAAGTGATCTATGAGGGTGTGGAGGTAGCAGTGACCTAGTAGGTTTAGTAATCACAGGAAGAACATAGTATGACATGAGCATATCGAAATACACAGCAGTGGAATTACTATTGGTGTCGAGTACGTTAATGTTAAAATCACCCAGTATTACAAATTTTTTTTTGGTCATTGCAAGTTTTTCGAAAAGGCGAGCCATTGCTAGGGTAAACGATGGAATATTACTTCTCGGATGGTTGTAAATAATTACAATAGTGAGACTCTGTAGTTTTGAGTTGGGTTGTGAAAATTTGAGCTCGATCCACATATCCTCACAGTTAGGGAACGCTAAGTCAAGATCACGAACTATTTGGAAATCTAAATGATTTTTGATGAAGACACCCACAACACCCGCCTGAGTTGGGGAGGGGACATGGAAAAAAGTGTACCCTGGGATGTCTACATTAAGAAATGTGGTCCTATTATTGATCCGTGTCTCACTTAAAGCAATCACATGAGGAAGGAAATGAAAATTCGAAGTCAGTTCAATTAGATTGTCAACATTTTTTGCTAGCGATCTGATGTTATAATGTATTAGAATAAGGTCTGATGGTAAAAACCTGTAGGAAACCTCATTGACATCAGTTATTTCGAGGTATCGACTGGGTTTTGAATCATCAAAAGGAATAATACTAGCTGATTCCCAGTTGGAGGGATAGGTGGCTGTTGGAGGGATCTGGTGCTGTTTCTTTTGTGAAAAAAATTGCATACCATTCTCTTCTCTCTCTGATTCTGAATTATTAGAATTATGTACTTCCCTTCATTCAGAAAAAGCTGAAGCCCAGGCAATTACTAAAATTCTTGATCCTGAATACCTAAACCAAATGTTTCTTGAGTCAGTCAATACTGACAATGATGAATTCAACAACATAAACAGTGTTTTCATGTACAACAGCTCAAATTCAATGATAGTTTTAAACTAAGTGGTTTCATGACTCTTTCAATCAATATCAATTCTTTAGCCTCTTTCAAAAACTACACAAAATTTGAAGCACTAGTAAATTCACTAAATTGTAAGCCTCATGTAATTGCTGTTAATGAAACATGGATTGTATCTAGTACAAATGGCCATTTCAATACATTGGATGGCTATGTTTTTATCACCAATAGTAGATCTCTAATACTAATAATAGATGACAACTCATTCTCTACAAATATTTGTGTCATGAAGCACGGAGTTCCACAAGGATCTTTACTTGGCCCATTATTTTTTCTAGCTTACATTAATGTCCAGGTGTCTGAAATCCTCTGAGTCGATCATGTTTGCTGATGACACTGACTTGGTTCTTCATGGGAAAAACCTTGAAGATCTACTCACAGTTGCAAACCAAGAACTAACCAACATTCATAGCTGGATGTTGGTTAACAAATTATCTCTTAATGCTAACAAAACTAAATTTGTATTATTCCACCCAAGCAAGCTTAAAAGTGTGAGTTGTTCAAAACCACTTACTGCTCAATGACAATGAAATTGAAAGAGTGAAAGAAATAAAATTTCTAAGAGTTATCTTTGATGAAAATCTGTCATGGAAATCACAAATGTCGCATGTTATTGGTAAAACAAAAAGGAACTTGGCAGTTGCTGCCAAAGTATCCCAGTGCGTTAATCAATCAGCTTTACTAGCAATGTTTCAATCTCTACTACCAAGTCATATCCCATATTGTAGCTCAGTCTGGCTCCATGATAATAAAACACTTGTCTCGAAATTGCAAAGCATTTGTAATAATTTTTTAGGAATTGTCTTTAGGAAAAGTAAACATGAAAGCGTAAATCATTTCTATAAATCACTAAATATACTCAAGGTTGAAGACATAATGAAATTTGAAGTATTATCATTAGTTTATGATTTTCATGACAATTCATTGTCAAACTGCTTTAACGACATACTAACCAAAACCACATCCAATCGAAGAAGTAATTCCAATTTATTTATACCGTTTATGAGTAAATCTGTGAGCCAGCATGCCCTATGCTATAATGAACCTAAGCTATGGAACTCTCTCCCCTTGAATTTGAAGTCATTAAAATCCAAAAAATCATTTCAGAAACAAGTCGTACTTGGTATCCAAATATTAAAAGTTATTTTTCCATACCCACACTCATATAATTATATACTCTTTCGTATGTAATTAGCTACAACGTTTTGATAGCTCGGACACAAAAAATATTGAACCTTCATGAATGACCATGATAGAAAGTTGGGACACTCTTCACTTGCACATACTTATTTTCATGAAAATATTAAACAGCTACAATATTGCTATTGCCCCTGCAGCTGCTGATTGTTGTTGAGTCGGCAGTTAATCTCTCTACACCTGATCTAATGTTGGTGTGTCGGGTTCTGTAGCATGCACAGCAAATTTATTTATTTATTTTTCAAATGGCTGTTTACACTCTGACATCTGCATGCGCATGTTCTTTTTTTTGCTTAATGTTGGATTTTTGACATTGCACATGCATGGTCTTTGTTTCTATATGGGTGGTGTGATACCTTATGAGGGTTGTAGACCGTATAGTTTAGCTCCTGTACCTATTATTGTAATTAGGTGACCAGTGGAGATATATTGGATTCTCCCCTTCGTTTTAATTTGTTTTGGTATTCTATGATTTGTTTTGTGTGTATACAAAATTTTATCCTAGGTTGAGGTTCTGCTGTGAAGTTAATGTGAAGGCCAACATACGAGTGGTCAGTGTGGTTTGAGAGTTTCTGCAGGGTTTGCGAGGAATTCACCCTGTGTCCCAACCATATTTCAACTCTGGTCTTTGTACTAGCGTTTTAAAGATAGATAACTAATAATCAATATCTACTCGAAATAATAATTAATTCTAAACAAAAGTGTAGGGTAGTGCTGTTTCCAAATATGTAACCCTTGAATATCCTACTCGCAGATTTATTTCCTGTTTTTCAGGTCGTTCCGTGATGATCAATACAATGGCTAGTTTATTGAATATAAATGGTGTCTACAACAACAAAATTTGCAGGCTGATGTCTCATCCACGATAAACTTGAATTGACATCTATTACACAACAATAATTAAATGAAGAAATGATCCTGCGAAATAACAATACTAATTCGTTTATTCCTAATTCCTTTATCCTTGCAGAAGTCAATATCTAAGAATGAAAAAAAAAAACTCATAACCTTAGCAACCAACATATTCCTATACCCTGTCTTTCTACCTTAATTAATTATAATTACTCATACCTATAAAGTTACTGATAGATTTAAATACTTATTACAATCTGGACTATAATTTGGCAATAATAGGCTCTAGTTTGGGCAATGAAGTGGTCTAGCCCAGTGAATCCCAAAGTTGGCGATATCGCCCCCCGGGGGGCGAAAACGATACAGAGGGGGGCGAAAAAGTCGAAGGGGCGATTTCGCGAAACCTGGTTTTGTTCGGGGCATCGTGCACTTGATTACTGTACTCTGCGTGCTTTCGTATATTTGAATCACGTGGGCGATTATCACACGCGTTTTCTCGACCTTTGACACCGGGAAATTCTTCCTATACTTTACCATTTTCCGTGCTTATTTTAAGAGTGGTTTCGCGAGTTGTCGCCTGTAAAATGGGGTATTTCAAACTATCATTCTAATTCATACCATTCAACAATCTGTTTTTTGAAATTACCGTTAAAGAATTTTGACTTAGTCGATCACAGCTATTTCTACTCTAATTTTTGATTACTGCAATCAAACTGAAACTCTTAGGAAGAAAAGGTGATCATTGAATTATTTGATTTTCTGTTAAATTTCCGAAACACAACTAAATACAAACGAATATAATTCAAAAACCGAGAAATCGAGGTGATGTTTACGACCAAGCTCGAAAATCTGTCCGAGCGAGAGAGGCGTCTGAGCGGATGCAAAAGGGGGCATTGTTACGTTTATTATTGCATCTTGCTGATTGGCCAATGTCACGAAGTAAAAAAGGAAGTCTATTCCCGGGGAAACATCAAATATACAGACAAAAACGCGGTTTTGACGATGAATCAATTTTATTTATAATCTACGCTCGAGGACTGATTAATTCTAGGGACTGGTGATCGGACTAGAGGCCATGGTAGGATGAGGAATCGAAGGTGAATTTTACCAAAGATCGTTATATATCATGTATTTTGGTGCAGGTCATCAGGCTGTAGGGATGAATGAGATGTACGAAAATCATTATTCAAAGTTCGGAAAAATTAACTTTGTTTTCATTATTTTAATGTGAAATGGGGTGAATTTGGGGAGTTGAATGCAATAAGGTAGGTACACGGCGGTTTTTGAGGAGGAAGAACTCTGGAGTATTTCATTTCCGACCTCTTATATGATAAAAAAGGGGTTTTCAGCCGTGCTATAAAATTGCTATCAAAACAACGAAATCGCCTTCTCATCAGTAAACGGGGTGATTTAAGATTGTGTCTGACGAAAATGTCACCTAATAATAAATAAAAGACGCTGAAGAACACAAAGCTCATCCATCTCATTAAAAAAATAAAATATGATTTGTCTTCTTATTTGGTCTGTAATATATTCGTTTCTGACTTTACATTTTTTTGTAGTGCTGGGGGGCGATGAAGTTGTATAAACTACTTTAGGGGGGCGATGGTACAAAAAGTTTGGGAACCACTGGTCTAGCCCACCTCTTCATGCACCCAATTCTGGCAACTTTGGTTGGGCATTTTGGCATTTGACTCCATCTATAATCAGCTTGACAATATATTTTTTTATAAAAGTTTAATTCACATTGAAACTGAATCGTCACAAGACTTTGAAAATCCGTGTACTGGTCTATCTGTCTCACAAATGAGGAGCGTCTGACCGTAAATATATACTACTACTAGATGTCCAACTCCGGTCGCCGTATAATAAACAAACAGAGGCGATGTTGCACCTTCAAGTGGCGGGCGTCACGGCCGGTTTAGTTCTGACAAG